AATTACCCTAGCTAGTTCTCTGAGTATGGGTCGAATGCAAACTTGTTTCTTTTTTTTTGTACACATGTTGAGCGAGAGAAAAAACAAAATTTGCGCTTTTTGTTTTGTACAGCTGTTCGATCACCTGTTGAGATCAAACATGAAAGAACACAACCTATACAAACTTTTTCTACAAACACCTCTTGAAGCCGCAAAACACTCAAAGACAACGTAACAAGTTAAATCAATGGTAAGAGACTCGGTTAGTAAACACTATGAGACACAAGTAGAAACAACAAATGTTCTCGAAATCGTCAACAGTGTGAAGCCAACAGAAGAAAAAAAGACGCAGATGAACAACGCAACAAGAGTATTATATCAGTTGAGTCTTTAAATCAATTTTTGTTGATATTGGACCAAATCTAGCTGAATCTCTAAACACGGAGTGCAATTTTAAAGAGTATGAAGAGTAGATGGTACATTTTGTTTATCTAAAATGACAGAACAAGAAACTTTTGAAGCCATTAGTAATTTGCAAACCAAAAAGAGTCAAGATTGCTATGGAACCTCAAATTTTTTAATAAAAAAATTAATCCGGCAATCTGATCAACTTTGAAAGTTTTACTTAATCGAAAACTTAAAGAAAAGTTTTATCCGGAAGGTTAGCAACTTGCTAAAATTATTCCAATCCAAAAAAGTGGGGGAGAAGGCTCAAACACCAATAACAGGCCAATATCACTGCTACCAAATTTGGAAAAGCAATTGAAAAAGAACTGTACTAAAGGATTGTTAGAAACCTTTACAATAAGGAAGTTTTTTCGAACTAACAGAAAACTTTCGTGTCAAAACGATCAACAGTTGATGCATTTGTGGAATTTCTCGGATCAAATGAAAATTTTTGTAAAATAAGAAAAAAAATTTTTGCACCCTCATTGCTTTATCGAAAGCTTTCGATACTGTGAACCAAAAAATCTTGCTTAAAAATAGTCAATGTACGGAAATCAGTTGTCGAGAACCGTTACCAATTTGTTCAAATAAATTAAATAAAGTGCACTCAAAACAAAATGAAATGTGGGGTCCCTCAGAGATAAGTTTTCTTTCTAATTTAAATCAATGGTCTCCCTGAGAATCCAAAAAATTACAACGTGGTTCTCTTTTTGATGATAATAATATATATGGCAAAGTTTCGGAAGAAAACTATGATATAGTTTTGAACAAAATAGTAACATGGATGGCAGCAGAAAGACTTACGTTGAACCAAGATAGAACCGAAACAGTTCTATTCAGCACAAAGAAATTAAAGCAATTGATAAAGTTTCGTGGGAATGTCTAAAAAACAGTTATTGATTTCAGATTTTTAGGAGTTCAAATTGATTGCAACTTAAAGTTCACTGAATGTATCCGAAATGTGAAAAACAGATGCGCAAAGTTCATTTCATTTCTGTACCAAACTAAAAACATTTATTGGTTCAAAAACTGATGAGAGTTTATGAAAGCTATATACAACCATTTTATCAATATGAAAAGTGGTTTTTTGGCTGCACCTCAAAAACAAATATAGATAAACTGCAGAAACAACAAGTTTTTTTTTATGAGAATGGAAAAAAAACTCGATGAAGTTAGATTGACAAGACAAAAGTTTAAGGTTTACTCAATCTATGAGCTACATACATACGAAGTCTTCAAAATAATAAGAAAATAACAAACAAATCACGATGTGAAAAATTTCACAACATTAAAAAAAATGAGTAAGCATTTTCAAAGCGACACACAGATTAGAACATTACAAATGCGATCTGCTTGTATCTTTTCAAAAAGATAAATTTTAAAAAAATACGTGAGCCAGTAATACTTCTTTTCAAGTGGTTTGTCACTGGGCTATAAAATTTTGTTAAAGTTAATGCAATGCCCAGCAACGAAATTAGACAGTTTTGTTCATAAACTCAGAGATTCTGATTTCTGTGCAAATTGATTTTTTTGTGAAAATTAGGTCGAACTTTTTTTGATGATTAACTGGTTTGTTTCATGTTAAGAAATCATAAATAAAACCCTCGGTCTTTATGAATTAGGTCTACATCCACAAAAACGGTTTATACAAAGCTTAAGGTTTCAATTGGATAAAATCAAAAGTATGGACTCTGATTCTGCAAATTGCTCTCAAACGGCACCTGCAAACAGGCTTGCAGCCTTACGGTGACCATTCAAATCGGCGCTACAAAAATGTGTTTTGAATTAAAAAATTGCTGTAATGTGTCTGAACGAAATTATTATGATTTTTGTTGTTATTACCTTCCTTCGATTTTTGTTTATGAGAGTTAGGTTTTTTTATGAGACGTTATCATGTTGTTTGCTTAATTTGTTCTTTCTTATCTTTTCTACTGCTCAAAGTATTGCATTCCTCATCATGAAACTGATAATTTTCATAAATTTCATAAATTGAACTATGTTGCAGTCACATTTTTTCAGAGTTTGTAGAGTTTAAGCGATTCAAAGGTTGATAAATCTTGAGGTTTGTTTTACCACCAACTAGTCTAATCAGTTGATTTTTTTTCTGACGCAGACTGAATTTAATTTTTAGTTAATCAAGTTTTTCAAATTGGATGTGCCAAAACTGGAAACTTTTTTTAATTTACTTTTTTGGTGAAACATCGCCTCACGGACATTGTAGAGATCAAGTGTAGTCCATTTCGTTAGTTGGATTATGTTTCGAGACTGCGTTTAACCATATCTTGACCATTTTTGTGATCAAAATCTACTTGTTTTCGACCACGCATTATATTCAACTTTTTGTTCGACTATGTTTTGATCACACTTTGTGTTCAACTTTGGTTTCGACTATGTTTTGATCCTACCTAGTGTTCAACTATGTTTAGACCACAACTTAATTTCGACTATGTTTTCGACTAAATTTCGAAACTCTAGTCCACTAAAAAGACTGCTTTCGACAGCAGTTGTGGGGTCGTACAACATCCGTGTGTTAAACCAACTTTGGTCGAAACATAAGTCGGAAACCTCAACCCGGCTTGATAGCTGTATATCAGGAGTTTTGTCAAAATTAGTCATTCCATGTCTACGGCTCTACCTTCCAAAGTCAACAAGACTGCTCGAAGCCCTGAATGTTCCGACTGCCTTTTAAGGTCCGTGAAGCAGGGTTCGCTTCGTAGCAATTGATGAGTTTTGAAGAACATGAAAAAAAAATTATATTGATTATTTTTTTAAATTTTAGGTTTTTTCTAAAAATCAACCCCCGACACGCCATATTAAATAGAAAATGATAGATTTTGCTCCTTTTAACAAATCAATTATGACAAATAAGCTTCTTTCAACCAATTTGGAATGATTTCCAAGACGGATTAAATCTCCGCTTACGCGTTAACAGCGCGAAATGTATCGCTCGATAATTGTCTCAAATTGACCATAATGGCAAACTTCAAGCCCCCATAACTCTGCAAAAAACGATCAGAGGTGAAATATCTTTTCGAATTTAAGCTCATGTCAACATACCTTTTGAATGGTATGAAAAAAGTTCGTCGAAAATGACTAGTTATAAAGTCGAAATTTGTCTGAAGAAAAAAACACCCCGCGCACAAATATTCCGTTACTTTCTTACGATAGTCGGAACAATAAAATCCATTAAAGACTGTAACTAATAGAAAACCATGAACGAATGAGAACCAAACTACAATGCAATTCGCATTTATTGAAATCAGTAGTGAGAACAAACTTTTCAATGCTATACAACGACCATTAGTCATTATTCCGTTTGATGCAGCAAACTGCTCCATTTTTCCGTTAACTTGATTGTTTTTGTACAAATCAACTCACTTTGGAACGCATTAATCCGCCTTTACGCTTGTTATAAGAACGCAATATATTGCGTGGTAGTTATAGTGAATTGGCCAAATTAGCAATTTTCAAACCCACATAACTCTCCGAAAAATGATCGCAGGTGGTCTCAAAAATTCCAGATGGTCTCAAAAACATTTAGTCAAAAGTCGAAAATTGACTGAATAAAAAACCATGAAGGCTCGATGTTTTGAAAAATTATATTTAAAAAAAAAGAAAAAATTTGCTCGTATCAGGGCGAAGCCATGAATGTTCCGACTGCCTTTTAAGGTTTTATGGAGCAGTAATAACATCAAAAAAATAAATGTAATAAAAATAAAATGAAATTTTTTTTTCTAGAATTTGAAATTTTTTATGAAAATCATTCTCCCACACGCCATATAAAGTACAAAAGGATAGATTTCGCTCCTTTTAACAAATCAATAATGGCAATTAAGCTTCTTTCAACCAATATGGAACGATTTTAAGACGGATTAACTCTCCGCTTACGCGTTAATAGCGCCAAATATATCGCGAGTTAATTGTCCCAAATTGGCCAAAATGGCAATCTTTAAACCCCCATAACTTTACGAAAAATGATCACAGGTGAAATAGCTTTTCAAATTTGAGCTCAAGACAACAATAGCTTTCGAATGATTTTTAAAAAGTTCCGTCAAAAATGGCTAGTTAAGAAGTCGAAATTTGTCTGAAGCAAAAAAAAACCCACCCCGAGCACAAATATTCCGTTACTTTCGTATCGAAAGTCGGAACAATAACTAGTTTTCGTATTATAGATGACTTTTGAAAAACGCCGTAGAGAAAGCGTGTCAAAATCACAAGGTGTATCGTCTGCAACGCAAACTGAAAAAAGTACGAACTTTTCAAACCCATTTGATATTTGAACCTTTATCAGTACTTTTTTAAAATTATTTTGCAGCATTAGTTGTCTTATTTGTGCTCTTTTTTCAAACTAATCTGGTGCCTACTTGTTTTCTAAAGTTCTGCGCCTTTGGCGCAAAGTTAATGCGTTTGATTGACTATTTGTAGTTTGAATCACATATTTCATTTATTCAAGACGGATTTTTTCTGATCAGATATCGAAATATTTTTAGGATCGTAGTCGGCCGAAAGTGCAAGTCACTTCACTTGTCGTTCTGACAAATCACTTTTTGAAAATTGTTGATATAATCAAACACCCATCCTGAATCCAAATCATTCGATTTGTCGTTATTGAGTCAAAGTAATAACTTTTAGGGCGTTTTGTTTACAAACTCAAGGTCTCTTGAATGTTTTGAACTGTCGTCGTTAAACTCCGCTGATGACACTATTATAACAAACTTAAAGGTTTAATGCTTTTTAGATTGCTGTTTATTATCCTGGCGTTTCCATCGTTTTTTGAAATTTAAAAGACATGAATGTTTCCTTCATTTTAGCATTAGCATTTCAACTGCAGCTGCTTTGTTTTGATTTTTTATCATCATTATCCCTTCCTGGGTATGACTCAAAAGTTGATAAAAAACAGACTTCAGAAGTGTTGAACGCAATTATCAACGGGATCAATTCGCCGCCTCACCCGTTTTTTGTCACGCTTCATATCCTGGACTCTGTCAAGGGACTTTTCTGTGGGGGGACTTTAATTGCAAACCAATGGGTTCTAGCCTCGGCCAACTGCGTGAACAAAACTACAGGTAAGAATTCTATTTGATTAATTGTACAAGTCGCCAAAATTACGCGCCAAAACTCCTTTTACGTCTTTTATGCGCGAAAACTCTGTCAATCCATCACAACTCATTATCTCGAAAGAATTAAACGATAAATCAGTCTGTTTTGAAGAGTGTATATGGCGGCGTTACTTCGCGCATGAGACTAATCTCCGACATCAACGTTGTAATACTCTTCTGCCACTCCACAAATTTTTGAAGTTTACCCATATTTTAGTGGATAACGTGTTTGTGGAAGTTGGCGATTACAGTGCTGAATCTGAACAAAGATGCTTAGAACAAGTCAACGTCAAAAGAATCTTCGTGCACCCTAGGTGAGAACCAAGTTCCTGCAACAAATTCAATCAACTTTGACATTAATTCCGTCACTCATTCAATTCGATCAAAAACAAAATTGTATGACCAACTTTAGTTGTTTTCGCAGGATTTTTCATTGAAAGATTTGGTAAGCAAGCCTCTCCAACTTCCTCAAAAGACAAAAAAAAATCGTCAAAAAAATTTTTGCGCATTTTAAGTTTGTGAATTTTCCTGAGAACTCAGAGTTTTTTTATTATAATAAGTAGTGTAACCTGTAGGATGTTTGTAGGGATCCAAAACTTTCAAATTGTGCTCAAGTTAGAGTTTTCCACGATATTTTTTCCACGGACCCTACATTTTTTCTAAAGGCACCTTTGCCGCCAATATATTGTTGAAAAAGGTCAATCACGCAATATGTAAATTCCGACATTAAGTGTAAATTAATCTTACGAAGTGAAACCTAAGAGTGCCAATAGAGGTCAACCAAGGGTGACAGACAATACCGAAGGTCAGCACCTGTTAACAGACTAATTAGCACAACGGTTGAGAGTTGATTGATGGCTAGAACTTAAACTCTCACGAATTGAACTAGCACCATATGACACTTCCGCTTCAATAAATGACTGAAAATACTGCAAAATGTTAATTGTAAAATTATGCAAGAAATTGACAAAAATACTGACTGATGAATTTTAAATTTAATGAACTAGTTTATGTAACGACGGTTTTAGACAACTAAGGAAATCACTTAGTGGTGATAAGGATTTTGAGTCTTGGACCAATAATGATCAACCCTCTCCCTGGGCTCACAATAGTTTTTTTCAGTTTTAAAGCTTTCATTTTATTTTTCCTCCGCTCCATCATTTCTACTCGCAATATAGTCGATCATCACCCCTCCCATTTTGGTAACCGCTGTCCTTTTTTGTGCAATTCTTCGCGACGCTGTTTCGTCCTGGCTATCATCCTGGTTGCTGTATGAGACCAGTCTAGCTTTTCGTGTTGTCTTGCGTTTCTTATCCGCGGATGCCGGTAACTTAGGGTCCCGTGGAATGGACTCAATCTCGCCGCCGCGTTGCGGAATAGTGTCATTTTCACTTTCAGTCTCTAGTACCGGATTACTTCTTTTGTCGCCCTGTGTTGATCCTGTCCATGTTGACCCTGTCCTTGTTGGTTCTGCTCGCTAATTGGTCTTGCTGGCGTGGTTATTTCTTGTGACGGTCCTGCTTGTGTGTCTCCTGTTGCCCTTGTCGCCCGTTTTAATGAGATAATTGGTAGGTTGTCGCTCTCATCCGATTGTGGCCCACTATTTCAAAATCGTCGTCCGGTTCTTTTCCGCTGCTGTTTTTCGGCGTTAGCTTTCTTCATGGTCCGTTCCTTCACTTCTTGCGGAGTTGGCGGTGCGAACATATCTCTAACTTTCTTAGCCTTTGGCTTCGTTGCCACACCCGATTTCCTAAGCACAACCCCGTTGTTTTGCGATAACGTATCGGCACTCTCCGTTTTTTTTGAATGGATTAGTTTATACCTCTTTAAACTTCGGTTTCCGGTTCGCTGGAACAATGAGCCAGAGGGCCCCTGTTGTCCACTCTGTCCCGCAGATTTCATGATAGACGGTTCATCGTCTTGATTTCCGGCCTGCTCATCAATTAGCTTGCGCGAATGGCTCCTGTGTTTGAGGTCGTAACCAAGATCTGACCTCACCCCCCCAGTTAGTCTCGGTAGGATGCGGCATGCCCCTCACATTCGGGTCAGCTTCATCTAAACAAGCATTCTTCGTTTTAATTACTCGAGACCAATTCAGATTTTGGAGGGAGAGTTTTTTCGTATGATTTCTTAGCACCATAGTCGCTTCTCGACGTTGCATTCTTTGAGAATCTGAGAGCATCAAGGGCTCTTTCGATCTTTTTTTTCCAAGGGTTTTGGATGTCTTTCTTGTTCGAAAGTCAATATCGAGTTTTTAAAGCTATCGATGGTGCGCTCTATACAGCCGGTTGCCCGGTGGTCATTTACCGGTGATTTTATGTCTTCTATACCCTCCCCATTACAAAAAGCTTTTACTCCGTTTGACATAAAACTTGTTTCCTGATGCATGTGGATTTTCCTCGGTACGCCGTGGTTTGCAATATATTTTTTTTCTAGAAACTTCATGATTTTATCTGACCGATTATTTCCGCAGACCATCGCTGACGGCCAACGTAAGAAACGATCAACCGCCATTAACACGTAATTCTGAGACTCGTTTAAATAGTTAATGGTGCCCCAAAAATCAAGCTGAACCGACTTGTTAAGTTCTTTTGTTTCGGGTATATTTCCAATCTGATTTTTACTGAAAAGGTGTTTTAAGTTCTTACCGGCGGCTTTACACTCCGGAAAAATTGGGAATAATAGCAGTTCATAGCCAAAACTTTTTTCGTGGGTTTTTGGGTCTTTCATTTTGATTAAGTCTCTGATTGCACTAAGTTGAGGATCGGAAACGTAATTGGACTCGAAAAATTGTAAGATAAATATTTCAGGAAAAGAAGTGATTTTGCTCACAATTTTAATACCGCGAGGTACAATTGACATACACACATTATTTGGGTCTACCGGTGAAATTGTTTCGCCTTTAAAAGCTGAAGGTAAAGATACGGTTGTATTTGTTCTAATTGATTTAGTCTCCTTGGTAATCATTTCTAAATTTAAACTCTATGGTAATTCTTCTATCTCGTCACCACTACTATCCAAACTAAGGTGTTTTTTCAAAAGTGTTTCCAATTTCTTCATACTCAAGTCCATTTTGATGTGATTTTTCGAATTCGATAATTTCGCAACCGTTGGTTTAAGCCAATTTTTCACTTCCGATTGATCAATTTCCGTTCGCATGACTTGACGCCCTCTACTGGCGTATTGCACGATTAATTTTCAAATCTATTCATAGATCGCTGTTTATTTATAATAACATGCTGTCTCTTGGATGCATTATTACGTAATTGACGTTCCCTGGATGCGCTATCATGAACAACACCGAGAGCGTTACGTATTGAATTAATATTTGCTACTGTAATCATGTTATTGTACGTACTGATTGGTGTTGCTTCATTACTTGGATGTCGTGATAGTGAATCCGCCAACCCAATTTTCGCCTCTGGCCCCTGGTTTATGTTCCACTTGAAAATCAAAAAGATTGAGTTGATCCAACCACTGCGTTGAACGGCTAAACAGCGTCTTGTTTTTCATGTTATTGCCGTTTAAAAGAGAAACTAGCGCTTTGTGGTCTGTTACTAAAAAAAATTTCCAGCCCAATATGTAATTTCCGAAATATTGAACCTTCATACTACTGCCAACATTTCTAATTCATTCGTCGAGTACTTTTTCTCCGCGTCATTTAGGTACCTTGAGGCAAAAGAAATCGGTCTCCACCCTTCCGGTCCTAATTGTTCGAGAACAGCGCCTAAACCGTTATGGCTCGCGTCGCACACAATTCGTATATCTTCATGAAAATCGAAACGACGAAGTTAAACAATGTTTGAATTTTTTTTTTTAATTTTCAAAGACGCGCTGACATTCCTCCGTCCATATGGAATCGTTGTTTTTACTTAGTAAAGGCCGTAAAGGTGCGGAAGATTCTGCCAGCGCCGGCAAATATTTGTGGAGATTGTGTTTTGACCCCATGAACAATTTTAATTGTGATAGGGTACGCGGCGGTTTCAGCGTTTCTATAATTTCTTTTTTTCGCGCGAAGGTCGTTATTCCGCTGGGGGTTATTTTGTGGCCTAACTATTCACATTCGCCTTGTAAAAATCTACACTTCGTTTTTGAGACATGTTCTCTTATCCAGTTTTTTTAAAATTTTCTCCACAGTTGTTTTGTCGTCAATTTCGGTTACCTCGGTTACTACCAGAATGTCGTCTATGAAAGCATGCGCTTGCGGAAATTCGAACAGGATGCAATCCATTGCGCGCTAAAACTCGGCCGGCATCGTGGTTAGGCCATAGAATCCTGTAGGTACCGGTTGACTGACCTCCGATAAGAGAAAAATTGCATTGTACGCTCGTTTCAATTCTTAAAGGTAATTGACCATATGAGTATGTTAGGTGCATCGTTGAAAAAATATATATCCCCTGGTTGCTTCTCGCTGATTGTTTGCCCCACGGTGTTCATTAAATCCTCGATATTTGGCATTTAGTATTTATTTTTACTGAAAAGGTGTTTTAAGTTCTTACCGGTGGCTGTACACTCCGGACAATTTTCGGCTATTGAGACAACCGACTGGTAAAAATAAGGATACCAGACGTCTCTGTCGGCATGAAACATGTTCGTTTTACCGCGGTGGAATGCGTGAATTTGATTCTTAATTGCGGTTTGAAGATTCATTGGTATAACGAGTTTTTTATTCATCCAAACGACATTTTCCTTCACATAAAAATCATTTACAAATTGGGAATAATAGCAGTTCATAGCCAAAACTTTTTTCGTGGGTTTTTGGGTCTTTCATTTTGATTAAGTCTCTGATTGCACTAAGTTGAGGATCTTACGTAATTAAACTCGAAAAATTGTAACATAAATAATTCAGGAAAAGAAGTGATTTTGCTCACAATTTTAATACCGCGAGGTACAATTGACATACACACATTATTTGGGTCTACCGGTGAAATTGTTTCGCCTTTAAAAGCTGAAGGTAAAGATACGGTTGTATTTGTTCTAATTGATCTAGTCTCCTTGGTAATCGCTTCTAAAATTAAACTCGATGTAATTCTTCTATCTCGACACCACTACTATCCAAACTAAGGTGTTTTTTCAAAAATGTTACCAATTTTTTCATACTCAAGTCCATTTTGATGTGATTTTGCGAATTCGATAATTTCGCAACCGTTGGTTTAAGCCAATTTTTCACTTCCGATTGGTCAATTTCCGTTCGCATGACTTGACGCCCTCTACTGGCGTATTGCACGATTAATTTTCAAATCTATTCATAGATCGCTGTTCATTTATAACAACATGCTGTCTCTTGGATGCATTATTACGTAATTGACGGTCC